GCCCCGACGCCACCCACTCCTGAAACTGACCAGTGGCTGACTACAGGAAGCCCCTGCCCCGGGAATCAGCAGCAGCTGACTTGGTGATGCCTGGGGTTCTTAAGTTGAATTTGTATGTAAGTCAGAACTGGCGTCCAGATTCACCCACTGCTGAAACTGACCAGCGGCTGACTACAAGAAGCCCGAGGCAGAGTTGCTCTGCCCCAGGCTTCCTGGAATCAGCTGCTGATCAGTTTCAGCAGCAGCTGACTTGGGGACGCCTGAGGTTGTTAAATTGAATCTGTATGTAAGTCAGAACTGGTGTCCAGATTCAGCAGCTGAATCTGGATGCCAGTTCCGACTTACATACAGATTCAACTTAAGAACAAAGCTACAGTCCCTGTCTTGTACGTAACCCGGGGACTGCCTGTACAATAACATTTTATGATAAAAAATATTTAAGCATTTATGAATTTTATTGAAAACAATTTTCATTTGTTTGCCATGATAAGCGTCCCTGTGTAATGCCAGCTTAGGCAGAGAGTGGGGACGATGTCACTACTCAGCACTGCGCGCACAGTCAGTCAGTGGTGCAATCGCCTGTTATATACCACTGTAAATCCCCATATTCACTCTCAAGGAGCGTGGATCACATGGGTGACTAAATACGAATATACTAGCACCGCATTAGACAAAATCGAAGCTTCAGCTGTCAAACCAGTTGCTTGTATGGGAATACACAGGCAGTGTTCTCGTGAATACTTTACTTCAGTATAGTCGTGTGATTTCTTGTTTTTAAATTTTTTTAAAATTCTTGTTTTAAAAAATATAAATTGACTATGATAGATTAATATACATATCTACAATACATAACAATAATACTTTGGTCAATAATAATAATATGACATATTAATAGTATCTACACATAGAGTTTAAATTGTTGATACCAAAATTCCCCATGGATCATTGGCTAAAGGAAGGAACTTTAAAGAAAAAAGTGAATACTTCAAACACTCCATATATAAGACTGTTATTAGGGGTTCCGCAAAATTCTGTTGAGTTTTAAAGGGTTCTGTGGCCAAATAAAATTGGGAAACACTGTACTAACCATTGAAACCCCAGGAAGCTTTGAAGAAACCATGATTTCACAAAGATTTATTTGGGTAGGTGCCATCAGTGTTTAATCTGTAATTAAAGATGTGCCAAGGCCAAGCAGTTATATGCTAGGGCTCAAGCTATGTGGGTTTTTGTTGGTGGTGGTTTGGTTGGTTGGTTGGTTTGGTTTACATTCATCACTGAGATAGTAAACTCAGAGGAGGTGGGACTATGAACTACCAAGTCTTGCAATCTCAGGACTCAGCCCCAGCACAAATTAAGCTCTGGGTGCAATTGATAATTAATGTACTCCTACCATGTGCAGCATGGCGGAAAGGTGACTTCGTGGGTAGAACACTGGGCACTCAAGAGTAGCATTCATTTTTTGATTCAGCCATATACTTTCTGTGTGATCTTACTTAAGCTACACTATACCTCAGTTCCCCTTTACTGAACTGGGGTTAAGGTTCC